CGAAAAACTCACAGAAAACACTTCATAAATCGCACAATTCCATCGTTTCAACTGACTGGCTCGTCGCTAACTGCTCAGCTGTGTGTGAGCCGCGTTTTTTCTTTTATTTTTTTGTTCTAAATTCAGAACTTGTCCGCACAACCGTTCATTTGTTACGTTTTTAATTTTTGCTGCTTCTTTTGTTCCGTATCGTTTGATTTGCCAATCAAGACTGAAACCACTCTGTTGGCGCAGACACTGTTACTGCTGTTACAGCTGCTATGCATGTTTATGTGTATATTAGGATGGCTCACACTTTGCATAAAAAAAATTTTTTTTTAACAATTTTTTTCGCCCGTAAATAGCTTTAAAAGGTACTAAATATTTGTAGCATTTGCAAAATAAGTTGATTTGCATCTCAAAGACAAATTTGGCAGAGTATTCCAAAATAAATCAAGCTCAAAGAGGCTTGCTATTTTGAAAGTGTTGCTCAAAACAAAAACGAATACAGCTAGAATGAAAACCGCCAACCGGATTGACCAGAAATGCGACGAATTGCTAATAATAAGCGAACTCATGTGCATGAATTCTAGTATTTGAGTCTAACTCTGTCCTACTCTGGACAATCACACAGATTGTGCTGGAGTGAAGTCACGTTAGGAGGAATCACGGTTCTATTCTACTCGGAGTCAGAAAACTATTCACGGATCAGCCGTGTTGTCGATGCACCTAGCAAAGGTCCATCAGTGTCCGGATTTCTCCTGCAGGTGAATGATAGAGGTCCCCTTTTCTCTGAAATTTTTTGTGTGACAACATTTCCTTTAACGTACCCAATGCCTTAGTAAGAGAGATTTAGGGTAGCTCACGGGCTGCATTCACTGCCGGATAGTCCTCCGTTGGACAGGCTCGAGAGCGGGTAGCTCACTGGCCGCATTCACTGCCGGATAGTCCTACATTGGGCAGACACGAGCCGGTAGTGATGATTGCTGAGCATTATTAGAGTCATTTAAATATTCCGTTCGACACGATTTTGTGGCCATGAAAAAATCAAGCACTTTCGGAGAGTAGAGACAAAAGCAAAGTACCCGTATTTTACCGTTTTTGTAAATCAAGTTATTTATGCTTTTTAAGAGGAAAAACAACCTTTAACAACCCCTATGCTGAATCGGGCAAATTAATATTATCTTTGACATACAAAGGTTCTTTGAGTGGCTGAATAAAAAATTGAAATCATTTTTCAAAAATTCAAAATGGCGGATCCAATAAAGATCCATCCAGCATATTGTAT